TAGTCTGGGGTAAATATAAGTGAACAAAGAAAGTCCATTTAGCCCAGACTACCTTAAATCTGACAACTTATCCGGCTAACCAAGAAATCCTGCTTCCTGAAACAGGCCCCTGGTGAGAACCCTTTCGGTGTTATTGTGATCGAAGGTTGTTTGTGTGGCTTAGCTGATCCACCCCCACTTCCTAAGGTGCTGACGAACTTTTATTGGGGTTTGATCGGAAGTTCTCTTTCCAGCTCGGCCTCTGTCATCCTTTTGTCACCTACTTAATCTGCTGGCGTGGTGGTGCAGTGATTAGCAGTGGAGTGTGGTTTGAGTCTCCGCTGTGACTCCATGCATTTGGAGTTTGCATGTTCTCCCCGTGCCGTTGTGGAGTTTCCACTGGGTTCTCCAGTGTTCCTGCCACAGTCCAAAAACATGCTAAGGTGAATTGGAGCTGCCAAATTGCATGTGTGTCCTGCGATGGGTCGCCACACCTGTCCTGGGTTATAATCTGCTTTGCACCTGTAGCTACTGTGATCAGGGCCCCTGCAGCCCTGCATAGGATCAGTGAGCATAGAAAACGGATGAATGCTGATGTGCCGCTATTGACCCAAACCACAAGATGCTTGTCCTCTCTCTTTGGTTATTATTAAATGGGGAAAATGCTGCCGTGTGATTGCGCTTTTGGGAAGGATAAAAAGTTTTCCGCTTTCCAGGTGAGCACACTTGTTAACATTAAGCCGGTTGGAGGTGTTTGTCTCCCCCTCTGGCAAACAGGAGAATATGTAGCTTAGTGTGTTTTGTAATGTTTGGGTGACAATTTGTAAAAACATCCATTATGCAATTAAATTACTGATAAGATAACCTGAGCATAATGTTTCTTTTTAGAAAATTTAAGAAATCTGTGAAAATACCAGTCCATAAAAATTAGTTTGCTGTTCAGTGGGGACGCTGCCTGCTGCTGTTCTTGTGTTGAACAATACAGTTGAATACAGTGGCATGTATGGCTGAAGCTAATTGGTAGCTGAGGTTGGTAATGCTATATGTGAGCGCTAGGCTAATGCTAGGAGTTTATAATGCATCTTCTCTGGGAGCAACTCTGCTCTGATGTTTCCAACTCTGTTTGCCTACTGCTGCTAAGAATGAAATCCAGATATCAATGTACTGGCATATGTGACCTTTAATCTTTACAATTTGAAAAGCGTGGCTCACTTAACTATGTGCATCACATCCTTTCTGGGCTTTAACTTAGCTGGATTAACTGATCATTAATTAATAAGGCTCGCTTTTGCCTGTTTGGTGCACTGGAGGGGAAGCCTTGCCTTTCTCATGGCTGTATCAGTCTTCATGTTGACTGTGTTCTTAACTTCCTTTCCCAGCAGTGGTGCCTGGCCCAGGGACTGGGACTCGCCCCAGTGGGACAGGAAGCTGCATCACTGGAGCCTCCCCCCACCCCACAATTCACTTGACCACAATTGCTCTTGCATCTACTCAACCCCCCCCCTTTTCGGTAGCCATGTCGCGGGAGCAGTTCAACATCGGGGATGTCCTCCCTCTTCTGGAATCCTCAGACTTGCACGAACTTGATGAGATCAAGAGTTTAATTAACGAGCACCTCAGCACAGGTTGGTCCTCTTCCTCCTTCGCTTTTGGGGTAAATCGGTCGTTAACTTCCATGTTTAACATTAGGCCTCTTTTGTCTTATCCTCTGTGTGTGTGTGTGTGTGTCTGTGTGTGTGAGACAGATCGTGGCTCTGTGCTCCTGAACAGCCTGGTCGATTACTACCTAGAAACGGGTTCCCCTCAGACCCAGCACATCCTGTCCTCTGTGAGGGAACCACACGACAAGGTAATTAACAGTCAGCGGCCTGCCATCCAGTCACCTGCTTCTTAGTTGGGTCGTCGCCTTCGTGAGGAGGGACCAGGACACCACAAATAAGCTTGTAGTGCAGTGCATCCCTCCAGGAGCTTACAGTTGTCACGGTGCTTTGCTGCCACCTCTCCCAGTTATGACCCCAGCTTCCCTGGCCAGTAACCACACCCTCCTTTTCATCTCTCAGCATCTTCTGGAAAAGATAAATGAATGCATGAACAAGCAGGCATGCCGCCTTCACGCACTCACCCTGCTGGGACACATCATCCGCAAGCAGCCTCCCTGGATCCACAAGATTGCGCGCTTCCCTCTTTTCTCCTCGCTCCTGAAATGCCTGAAGGTAAGCAGGTCCTGGGGGTGAGAAGGTCCCAGCAAAGTTGGTGTGAAACCAGGAACAAGGTTTCTACTCACAAGCACGCTGGTCGGCTGGAGACCAGCTTATGGGGGAAGATCTTTTATTTATTTATTGTAGAATCTTGTATTCTGGCATCACTGTCTCGCATTCTCTTGTTGTCATGGCAGTGATTGTGCCTTTCCTTTTCTCTCGGTCGCACAGACGGACTCCAATATCGTAGTGCTTATAACCGGGGTCCTGGTGTTGATCACCCTGCTGCCCATAGTCCCGCAGGTCGGCAAACAGCATCTTTGCGAGTTCTTCGACATCTTCGGCCGCCTGGCAGCCTGGAGTCCGAAAAATCAAGGTCTGCGACTCTGGTTTAACGCTGTCTCCGTGGTTTTGTGTCAAAGTCATATTTAAGTTTGCCAGCCCTTATTCTGGACCGTAGAACCGAAGGCTTGGACATAATCTGTATGAGAGAGGAGGAGATTTCGGGGGATGATGGTGGGATTATAGTGGAAATACGAGATGAGGCGGCACGCTGATGTTTGCTCGCTCTCTGGCCATCTGCTGCATGCAGGTCACGTGACAGACGTTTATCTGATCCACCTGCATGCCAGCGTCTACTCGCTTCTTCACCGGCTCTATGGCATGTTCCCCTGCAACTTCGTCTCCTACCTGCGCTCTCACTACAGTATGAAGGAGAACATGGACACATTCGAGGAGGTGGTCAAGGTGAGCCTGAGGCCCTAGTCTGCACGGTCAAACATGGCAGAATGGTATTTTACATTTTATACATTTAGCAGTTTTCTCCAAAGTGATGTGCAAGAGAGGCAAATAACATTCATGCTATCAAGGAGCAGCTATGCTGAGCTTCCAGTGAATGTGCAGTGTACGCAGCACTGGAATTAGAGCTACACAGCAGCTTCTAACAAAGCAAGAACCTAGTAAGACTATTCAGGGACTAGAAGTGCAACATAAGACCATTCGAGGAACGTAACGCAAAAGCTGGACTCTGTTCAGCAGACACGGTCACGATGGGTTTCCTTCTGTTATGTTTAGTGAAGGTATGGATGATGATTCTGTCTCCGTTGTTGTGCTTTCATTTACATCGTAGCCCATGCTGGAACACGTGCGGATACACCCGGAATTAGTGACTGGAACCAAGGACCATGAGCTCGACCCCACAAGGTGAGCAACACGCTGATCCTGACCGTCAACAGAGTGCTCTGCTGCTAGGCGAGTCTCATTTTCTCAGAACCGCATCGCTCCTCGTGCGCCTTGGCAGGTGGAAGCGGTTCGAGGTCCATGACATCGTCATCGAGTGCGCCAAGGTGTCCCTGGACCCTAAGGAGGCTTCTTGTGAGGAGGGCTACGTGAACATTCCAGAGCGCAGTCACCCTCCCTTGAAGCTTCGTTACCTGGACTGCACCACCAGCCCCTACTCTGACCTCCACACCAGCTTCGGTCAGGCCTCACCCACAATCCTCGGCACCTGACAGCTCTGTGTCTTTAACTCTCTCTGTAGTAACTGCCTTTTCCTTCCTTATTTTCTCTCTTCCTCAGGAAGCTCTTCCTCAACTTCTTTTTCTGCCCTACGCCAACCCCTCCCACTACCCCTGACCTTACCGTTCCATCAAAGCCCCCAGAGCTCCCGTCGGCAGGTAAGAGCCCCCTCCCCACTATACAGGGGTGGAAATGACCAAACCGTACTATAGGCCCTTCCTGCAGGGCGTGATGATGTGGTGGCAGATCTGCTTACGACCTGAATGATCACCATTGGGCTGTGAAGTTCAGCTTGATATAGCCATACCAGCAATCTAAAAGGACTGTGGTGTTTATAATTTTAATATTTTATCATTTAAATCTTATTTTTATTTAGATTTACTTTGTCGTATCTGTCATGAAGACAGATGTTATAGGTAAAAGTGTGTAATGTAAATCCCTGTAAATTTTCAATGTCGGTCAAGACTGAAGGTAGCATTCAGAAGTAGCATTAATTCTTGAGGAGTGTGATAGCTTGGTATTCTGCCATGTGAATGAAATTGACACTTCTCTTGTTTACTCTGACACTTCTCATCTTCTCTCTTCATTTTTAGTTCCTTCTCAAGTGTCTGTTATATGTAGTGGGAGATTTAGTGCTAATCTTCCTGCCCCCACCGCCAAACCCAATCACATATTCAAGTGTTGTTTCCCCACTTGGCTAACAGACCCTGGAAATGACATTGGCGCACCGACACACTCATGCAGCTCGTTGAGCTCCATTTTCCCACACTAGCGATATTTTTAAAACCCTGCCAGTATCTCTTCTGTTCTGAAAGCAGTCACAAGTGTTTTTTTGTTCTTTTTCTTTATTTTCTGTAAAGATTTGTTGGCTAGGTGCTAATATTAACCAACCTTAAGTGAGACTTGTGATCCGCATGATTTTCTTTTGAGTTGTGCTACTGAGTGAGGTGTGTTTAACAGAGGGAGGCTACCTCTCTCCCTGCCTGTATGAGAACACTGGATTGTTTATGCAAAAACACAAAGGATGAAATGAGGGAGTGCAATGCAAACACTTATTACCGCATGACCGCCGTCTTGCGTCATGTGACTAGCTGCCATTCAGCTTTGGATTCCTGAGGCTCTGTGTCGCTCTCGTCTCTGATCGATTTTGTCTGCGTGTGTGATCGCCACATTTGGAGCAGAATGGTGATGTCGGCACCTCTGGAGGGAAGGACCTCATCTGGAGCCCCTCCTCCGTGTGCGGCATGACCACGCCCCCATCATCCCGCGGCATTTCTCCTACGAACGTCACTGACCTGTCCCAGAGTGCCTCCTACCTTCAGGGCCGTGTGCACGGCATGCTGGGTGAGCCCTTTTGTAGCCGGTCTGATGGGCTTCTGACTTTTAATGCATGGATGTTTGCATGTCCGGGTTCCTCACGAGTCCCTTTGACAGCAGGTGGCAAACGCACCCCTTGCTCCAGTACCCCGGGTACCTCCTCTTCAACGCCAACGCTCTCTGATGAGTTTATACACATTTCTCTGGCACCCAGTGTAGCGGAGCCACCAAACAAGGTACAGTGCAGATTCACACTGCATGCCAACAGGTGGGGGGGTGTTGGAGAAGAGTATTAAGGGCCTCGCAAAGTAGAACTTTGCTGGAGATTTAACAGAATTAGTAAGTGTTCTGGAAGTGTGTGTCTTAACACATGTTGTTGGTGAGGGTATTGTATTGTACTACCCGAATAACTGTGGTCCAGTTTTATGTAATTCTTTTTGACTTGGACTTGTTGCAAGTTGCTCTCCATGCTCCTGAGGAAGGGTTGTGTTCTGGTAACTGAAGTTACCCACAAAACTACTCCATGACAGAGAGAGGTGGAAAGGTCAGGTCCAAGAAGTACAAATCCAGACCAAGGTTTTGTTTCAACCAACCAAGAGTCACTCAGGCACAGATTACTCAGGTGGCTGGTTGAAACAAAATCTTGGTCTAGATTTCTACTTCCTGGACCTGAACTTTCCACCTCTGTCTGTCATGGATTAGCTTTGTATCTCCCCCAACACTGCCTGAGAGGTCTAAAGCCCATGTTCATCTGCAGGATGGGCGAGCCTTGGAGCACCCCAGACCCAGCCTGGTGAGACAAGAGCCTGTCAAAGAGACGGAGAAAAGCAGGCCTGAGATGGCGCCACCCAGAGGTCAGCTGCTGAACACCCTTCGCTTCGCCTCTTCAGCCCTTTCAGCAAATTCCAAATGGAAATAGTTCATGCAGTGAATACTTATGTAGGAACTGTTTTAATTTGTCCGGCTTGTTTTCTGGAATATGCAGCAGAGTTTATGGCTGGAGAATATTCCAGATTGTCTGGAATATTGTAGACCGTTTGCTGTGCTTGTTGACAGATGGCTCCACAGAGAGCATGAAGACGATGACCCTGCCGGAGCTGTCCTTGTTCATCAAGAAGCAGGAGCTGGAGCTGCGAGAGCGCACGGAGAAGGAGCGAGAAGAGGGTGAGCGACCCCTAGTGGCAGGGAGGGGGACGGCAGTGTGAGCCATCAGTCTGCATTAGCACCTCTGCCAGGTGTGGGTAGCGTCAGTGTGTGCTTCCCTGCTTAGCATGGCTGCGGAATGCTTAGCGAACAGCTTCTATAAACAGGTGTCCCTGCCCTGCTAGTTGCCCCCTCCCCCCATCTGCTCCTGTCATCACGCTGCCCCCGCACCCTACAGACGCCATCACGGAGGAACTGCAGAAGATAACAGCAGAGCAGTGCGAGCCGCCCGTCCTCCGGGGCGTCGACTCCCCTTTCTACCGCACTACAGAAATGCTGACTGGCATCAGGGAGAAGCCGCAGGTTCCGGTGCTGCCCGGCCTCCCCGCCGAGCTCCGGCACGCCGCCTCCACCCCAGACCGGCCCGATGGGCCCCCCCAGCCCTCTGAGCGTCACGTGCCTTGGTCCTTCACCCCCATCGACCGCTCCCTTCCTGGCCACACCCCCCACAGCCCATTGGTCCCTGATGAGGAGGCGGTGGGCCTGTTGTCCCCCAGTCCATGCCGGGGGGGTGCCGTCCCGGCCTACGAGAGCCTGTTTGACCTGGCTCTTCCCAGGGCCGCCCTTGTGTATGTGGCCAAGAGGACATCGGAGGCCCAGAGGGTAGCTGGAGGGGAGGTGGAGCCGGAGGAGAAAGAGGGGGAGGGTGTGGCAGCCACGTCGCCCCTGGAGGTCCTGGACCGGCTCATCCAGCAGGGCAGCGACGCCCATGACAAGGTGCTCAGGAGGTGAGCTGGGGGGGCTGGAGAGGAAGGCAACTGTGGGGGTGTGCCCTGCCTGTATGTGTCTGCCTGTGTGGGTATGTGACTGAGTGAGTCTCTCTGTCTGTCTCTCTCTCTCTCTCTCTCTATCTGTCTGTCTCTGTCTGTCTGTCTGTCTCTCTCCCCATATCTGTCTCTCTCTCTCTGTCTGTCTCTCTGTCTCTCTCTCTCCCCATATCTGTCTCTCTCTCTGTCTCTCTCTCTCTCTGTCTGTCTCTCTCTCTCTCCCCATATCTGTCTGTCTGTGTGTCTGTCTCTCTCTCTGTCTCTCTCTCTCTCTCTCTGTCTGTCTGTCTCTCTCCCCATATCTGTCTGTCTGTGTGACTGTCTCTCTCCCTGTCTGTCTGTCTGTGCAGAGAGGTACGGACAAATACAGAGTGAGAGACAGCTCTATCTCTTGCTCTATCTGTCTCTGTGGTGTCTCCACCTGTGTGCATCTCTGTGCCTTTGTCTGTGTCTGTCTGAGTCTCTCTGTGGCTCTATCTGTCTCTGTGTGTATCTGTGTGGCCGGGAAAGCACTCCCTGGACGTGCTCTGGGCGAATCACTTGGAGTTTAAAAGCAGTTGCAGATACTGTCCTCTTTGCCCCATGGTGTTGAGAACGAGCCTGCAATCCCAACAGTGGCTTTTCTGTTCAGTTCTCCACGTACAATCCTGCTTTGGCTGTTTCTCTGTCCCCGAAAAACAGGGCACTTGCATCACTCCTTTTAACGATAAAATTGAATGAGATGGGGTTGTGCAAAGAGGTGTCTTTGTGCTGTCCCCTTTGTTGAGGAATGAGAAGGACTGAACCATCAGAGAGCCGGTGTGTGTGTTGGCCTGCTCTGCCTGTCTTACAGTTGCATAGTTGGCTGCATACCACAGGCCCCTCCCTTAAACACTCTTTCATGGTTACTTCTTCCAGACTACCTTTGCCAAGCAAGTCAGCTGACTGGACGCACTTTGGAGGTAAACAACAGAGTATTAAAGTGGAAGGTATTGTGAAAATCAGCGAAAAATTATGGGAATGTTTTGTTTACACTGCTGCAGCTTCGAATGCACACCCAAACCCAAACTCTTATGTGGATTTATACCCGTTCGGGTTTTTTATTTTTAATCAGCGTATTTACATAGACTTTTAGCTTCTAGTGTTAAATCAGCTCCACCACTCTAGTGTTAATCAGTGCTCAGCGCAAACGTCACATAAATAGGCATCTCCACATCCGGCTTGCCGGTTCTGTGAAGGCAGTCCCTGCTGGGAGAGCCTGGGTCAGTATGCAGCATGTCAGCTGGTTTCCGCTGCTCTTTCCTCGTGATCCGGGCCAGGCTCCGCCCCCCTGGACGAGCTGCACACGCTGCGCAGTCAGCTGATCCTGCTGCACAGCCAGCTGCTGTACGAGCGCTACAAGCGGGAGCAGCACGCCGTCCGCAACCGGCGCCTCCTGCGGCGGATCATCAACGCCACGGCGCTGGAGGAGCAAAATATCGCCATGGTAACGTTTGGTCTTGGCGGCCTGCTGCTGCCTGTGCTTTTAGCCCACAGAATATAAAAACACTCCTGAGCAAAAAAAAGGACTTTGGATGTGGGAGTCTCGTAGGTTGTAAGTTGGGGTCTTTTTTCCCCTCTTGGCAATGATCAGGCGCTTCAGTTGTTTTTGTAGCACTCTGTACCAAGCTGCTCATCCCCCTCCCTGTCCCCCCCCCCCCGTAGAAGGACCAGCTGAAGCTGCAGGACGTGGAGATCCAGTCGCTGCAGGCGAGCCTGCAGGTGGAGCAGCAGCGCTACCAGCAGCTGTGGGAGGACCGGGAGTCGGTGGTGACGCGGCTGTACAGTCAGGTCCGGCAGCTGCAGCAGAGCCGCGACGAGCACTACGGCAGGCACCAGGAGCTGCAGGTACGCTGCCGTCGCCATGGTTACGCAGCATGCCGTGCGACGGCCTTACTGCAAAGGGGTGCCTGCAAGTAGCATTAGATAAGTGTAAAGACCTAAATACAGAGGTGTCATGACAGCTGCCACATCCCTGACCGGTGAAGTGCAGGCCTTCTGTCTGATGTGATGTCACCAGACCAAGCTGCAGGAGTGTCAGAGGAGGACAGGTGAGCTGGAGGCCGAGCTGCAGAGGGCCAATAATCGGGTGTGCAACACGGGGCACCAGCTGAGCCAGCTGTCCGTCAAGGTGAGGCCTCCTGCGAGCCACGGTGATGTCATTCGTGGGTCTCCTTCGCCATCACTCTCTGACCAGGACAGTATGCTAGAGCTTTACAGATGTAAGAAACATGGTGTGACTGTCTTCTGGTAAAAATGATACATGTACACATTTCTGGATATTTTACCTAAAAACATACATAATAATTCCAAGATGGTTGATTTTGAAGGAACCTACTATATTATCTGGGTTGATTGGGGGGGATGGGGGTTGATTGAGCACCTGCCTGCTGAATGATTATTAATTTATTAAATTTGGTAAATGTCGGCTTCAACTCTCTCCCTCTGTGTTTTAGCTGACAAACAGCGAGGCCCTGCGGCAACAGATGGGCTTCCTGAATAAACAGCTGCTACTCTTGGGGGAAGTCAACAAGTTTTGTGTGAAGGAGTTGCAGCACTTGGGCCCTGACACAAGAAAGGTACAGAACTGGGTGGGGGCATGGGGGGGAGGGGGGGTTTTCGGTGGGCACCTTATCTCCAAGGATTAGTGTAGGTCCCCATCTTTAGAGCGCAGGAGCTTAATTGGCTTACAAGCTTCACTAGGATGGGTGTGGGCTGGGGTTGTCTTGGCTAATTAAAGCTTGTTGGATACTTGTTTAGTAGCAGGAGATGGCTTGATGGCTATGGCCTTTTATTTTGGCGGCAGACTTCAGTGCCCCTCGAGTATCTGACTGCGTCGCCGTTGCCTCGCACGCGCTTCACGGTTGTGCCTGCTTGTCACAGGAGGCAGAGATGCTGCGCGCGTCAACAAGGAAGGAGATCGACAAGCTGCAGCAGAGCATGCTGCAGCAGAGCCAGCGGCTGGAGGCCGCGCAGCAGCGCATCGGGGATCTGGAGGTGCAGCTGACCAAGAAGGAGCACCTCATTGTAGAGCAGAAGCTGTTCCTGGAGGATGTCAAGAGCCAGGCCAAGTACAGCTTTTACCTTTTGACATCTGGGGAAGGGTTAGGAGGGTGCTAAACTCTACGGCTGTCTTTGTTGCCCCTCTGACGGTCTGTAATTCATTTCAGCTCATTTTTATACAGTGTCTTTCACAACGCAGTTGCCCCAAGGAATTTGTATGTATTAGTACATAGATACTTAATGGTTCTTGATATAAGAACAACAGAAGAAGGAAACATGCCAGAACATGATCAAGGAGCAGAACCAAAACCACCGTATGGAAGAGAAAAATCTCTAGGTGTCCAAGGTCAACTGGCTACCCATCCTCCCATGCAAATGTTATATAATGCAAGAAAATGCTCATGCTTTTATAAATATAAGGTGTATACTGTGGTCAGCATCCATGTTTGGGCCAGTTCTCCATGTTCTAATGACCGGGTGTCTACGCCTGTCTTCTAGAGGGCAGCTGCAGGCCTCGGAAAATAGGTACCAGGCCCAAAAGCAAGTCTCCCAGCTCCTACAGACAGAGCTCCTCCAGCTCTACGGACGACTGGAGACGAAAAGCCCTTCTGCTGGCAGCCTACCAGCAGAGGGCGGTGCTGAGCCTCTGGCAGCCACAGAATTCAGGTGAGAGCAATTCTGGGCAATATAACCTCAGATTAATATCACAATTGATTGAAAATTTTACCTTGATTACAATTGATGATACAATTTTTTTTATCTGTCTTTTCACCCTCATATTTAATTGATAAGGTTTATAGTGCAAATACACTCAAATATTGAAGCTGGGATATTTTTCCTAATGAAAGACTATATCTCCAAGCTTTTAAAATAATTGGATGAAATACACACAGATGAACCGTTTATGGTTATTCATTAATTGTTTTGAGCAACTGAAATCAAAGCGCATATCGCTTGAGATGAAAACGTCTTGTGAAAAAGGTCACATCGTAGCATTTTGCATTTCTTGCAAACAAACTATTTCTAGTGATCACATCTGTCTGGGTGAAATTGATCACTATAAGTGGATAATCATTATGACAGATTTCTTTTTCTTTGTCTCAGGCAGATTGCCATCTAGTTGACATTTGTATATTCATTACATGAATATAAGGCAATGAAAAGGACAGTGTCACTATTTACTGAATTTTATTTACGTTCAAAATACAGTACAGCTGTTTTAAATGCTTTTCAAATTACAGCACTGCACAAATTACTGAACTGTGTATAATTCAAATATGCTGCAGTACAGTACTGTACATAAAACATGGCTTTTTGTCTTTTCACTGCTGCATCTCCCTGGCTCGTTTGTGGCAGTTTATCATAATCTTTGAGTATATTTGTCATTGAAAGAAAATGGCTTTTTTCTGGGCATGCACCATTAGCCACCGCTAGCTAGCCAGAAGCAGGTTTACTGCAAGGCAAAGTAGTCAAGTGGAAAAAGACATCATTTTAATTTTTGCCATATGTTATGTAGAAGACCCAAAATGAACACTGTAAGCAGACTACTTGATTAGGATAAACTAATTAAACCATATTTATATAGATCAAAAAGCTTGGGTCAGAATCATTCCTGTACAAACAGTTTATCACTATAACCGTGATCATTATAAGCAGTTTCCACTGTGTTTTAAATATTGCTAATGTTGAAACCAATTGGTGGTATTACCTTTGGTAGCTCAAACTGTTTTTTCCATTCTGTTGTATTGACTTTTGACCTGTTTTTGTTTGTTGTCCACTTCACTAAAGCCACAATGTGTTCAAACGACGGACGCGGCATTTTTCTTTGGTACAAGCTGCTGGAGTTGCTCTGTCAGCTCTGTGTTTGAGTTCTCCTCCATGGTTACTACCATGTCACAGACTGGATGCGGCAGAGTCATGTGACAACACACGTGGTAGTATGTTTTTAAGGGGACAGTACATGTGCACACACTGGGGAAAGTATTAACAGAATTTAAATTAAAAAATTTTAAAAAAAAAACAAGTAACCGGCCAAGATTGTCGATTAGAGGTTCTGAATGTCAGCTTTATTTTTCGATTAGTTGCCCAGCTCTCGGTGAGAGACCGTCCCTTCACAGAGCTCCACACACCTGGCTATATGAAATTGGCTCTCTTCAGCCATTTTTGCATTGATGTAATAACAGGGATGACCTTCACTGAGCTGGCAGCGTAGCGAAGTGTCTGTATTTACGGTCATTTTTTCTGTGTGCCCAAACAGTGATGGCATCCCAGTACCAACGGGTCAGGTGAAGGCAGGCACAAGGGCTGGGGCGTGTGGTCCCTTTGAGCCTCCAACAGACAATGGTTGCACTTTATCTCCTGGGAAGCCACAGTCCGGCATGGCAGCGAGTCTAAACGGCAGCCTGGAGCCGCGGGCCCAGGCCCCGGGGCCTTCCCCGTCCCACCTGCCGTTCCTCACGCCTCTCCCCGGCAACACCCCGCTGACCGTGGGCTCCTACCCCAGTGCCAAGAGCTTCCTGGGGATGCGGGCCAGAGAGCTGTTCCGCAACAAGAGCGAGAGCCAGTGTGACGGGGACCTACCGCCTCCAGCCTGCATCCCCCAGGGTTCAAAGACTGAGAAGAGCGTGGAGCTCGTGGGGAACCCTGCCCCTTGCCCCGCAGTCATCTCTGCCCTTCAGGGTACCGTGGCCACACAGGTTCTCGCACAGGCTGCTCCCATAAAGGGGACCCAAGCAGACGGAGAACAGAAGGCCAGCATCCAGGATGTACCCAGGCTCGGCGGGACGTGGCAGAGGCAGCAGCAGCTACGAATCATGGACTACAACGAAACACATCACTAGCGCGGCTGGAGAAACGAGATGGGGGTGGTTAACTGAACTGTGCGTGAGTGAGAGAGTGAATGGGGGGGGGGGGGGGAGGTGGGGGGGGGGGGGGGGGTATGTAAGGAACTCCAGTACCTTTCCCATTCCTGAAGTGGACAGCAGAATACTGGCTGAGTCTAGGCCCTGAGAAAGCAAAAAGGTTGAAAAGGCAAAAAAAGCGGATACAAAAAAACCTACCCGTCCCCCTTCACATCCCACATCCCTGCTTGAGCATTGAGCCACGGTGCTACTTTAGAGCAGAGAAGCGCATTATTCCCCAGAAACGGGTGTCTGAAGCGGGGTGCTTTACCATTTATCTCACATTAACAATGGATAGATTAAGTATTCCACATTTTCATGAAAAGCTTGAATTAGGGCACACGAAATGGGACAAAAGCGGTGAAATCGAAATTCGAAGTAAGATTTTCTTTTTTTATTCAAGACGACTGTTTGCAGCAAAAGTGGTCAAGAAAATGAGAAACAAGCTGGTGTTGCTTCTCTTAGGAGTCAGGATCACACGTGTGGTTGCGTGATTTGTGTCCAAGTTACGATAAATCAAAGCTCTGAACTCAGAGGTGCTCTTTTATGATAAGTAAACAATTTAAAAACCTATTTATTTTTGCACTATTGTCATCTCGTTGCAACATTTTTCCTAATGCTTTATGACAGGGCTTTTCTGCAGGGATTACAAGAACAAGTCACAAGTGCAATGTCTTTCATAAACACTTTGCAGTAAACAGTAGAGACGGAACGTTTTAAAAAATTAATTCAATGGAAGGTGGGCTGGGGGGCTTTCTCTCTGAACATTAGGAACCATGTTTAATATCAAAATAAGAGCCCTTTGAGTTGTTTAAGTCAGCTGGTCATGCTCCTAAAAGCTCGTGCCTCTTATTTTGTCATATATATGAAGGCCAGATTGTCATCAGTTTTTTTTTTTTTTCCTCCCTGAATTTATTGGCTTTGTAGGGGCTCATATTAATGACGAGAGGCACGTAAGTTGCAGAAAACAGATTTTGCAGTTACTGATAAAGTAAATGAAATTAAGTCCCATCTGGAATTCCAGGCTAATGATTAACAATAGGCATCTAGTTTTCACCAGTAAGGTCAGAGTGCCAGTCTGTGATTAAATCTTAAAAACAGTTCAGATTGCATTGCTGGCAGCTTTATCTGGGAATATCTATAAACAGTCATTGCACTAAACTCTTGCAGTATATTTTTCTGTTGATGATGAACCAGTTTACCAGATCATTTATAATGACTGATAAATATTGTGAGCCCCACATGTTGAAACAATCAGGCTTATTATTGTGTGTCAGACTGCTCCAGCTGCCCACCACGTTCCCCATGCCTCTCCAGTTCTATATACACGTGTGCGGAACTGGGAGGGATCTTTTGGAATCTTTGTCCCTCCCCCCCAAACAAATAATAGACTGTTGTCTCACAACATATCAGTTTGGAGTAAGGGCCCAAAATTCAGGATATCTTTTCTTTCTTTGGATAGCATTTCTTCTTTGGTCTTATTGAAAGCTGCAGGATGTGTAATTGGGAAGGTTTTAGCTGAATGCCATACCGCTGGAAACCGGTGTTTCTACTTGATTCTGAGGCTCCACCACTGTTAGTCTGACTGATGATGATCCTGATTCAGTATTTCAAGGATGTTTTTTCTTCATTCTTTGTAAGAAAACTTAAATGTTCCTATAGGCGCTGGCTGGTTACCAGGATGAAAAGATTCTCCCCTATCATTTGTGGTTTTTGTCCATAATGGCACAGCTCAACTTCAACAATTCAAAACCCACCACTTAAAAATATGTCTATGAACCTTGTGGAGAAAGCACCCCTTTACACCTTACATGCCTGAATCTTGAACTGCCATGTATTAAATATCCAGTCATCTTCTGATTTTAGCCCACAATGAAGCGTCACTCTCCGCTTATCTGGAAGGTGAGTATGATGCCAAAATGTATTAATACTGACCAAAATCTATGCCCTCTTCAACCGAACTTTTTTCCAACAAATATGTAGTGGTCATCGACAGAGTATTTTTTTTCTTCAACAAAATGTAATGTTAAAAGGTATTTGTGTTTAAAATGACAGTATTCCATAATTGCTAGGTTCAGAACTCAGATTTTCATTCTTAATCCTGTTGTCCACTGAAAGTTTGCTGTTGCTCTGTCTGCTTTGCTACTATATGCATGTACAACAATCCACTTTCAATGCCAATACAACTATGATGAACCCAGGGGGCTGTGGTTTGGTACAATCTGTCAAAAACTGAACTGGGGATGAAATGGAAATTCCATTGTAAGAGAAACTTCTGAAAATTCTCAAAAGCAGTTGCTTGTGTTTAACTGTGAACAATTAAAAATAATTTTAAAATAGTGTTTGGTGTTTTGACTTCAGATTTCCTACAATATATTTTTCATTAATTTATTTTGCTGCATCTATTTCACTGCATCCCACGTAGAATATTCCCTGTCTTGTGGCCTGTGGTTTCTGGGATACGCTTCAGGCTCATTGAAACCCCAAACTGGATGAACAGTTATAAGAATATGTGGATCAATTTTTCCAGGACTCATCTACTTCAGGGTCTCAGCAAGAGAATCCCAAGAAACAAAGAGCCGGAGGTGGGATACACTCTGGCCTGAATACCAGTCCGTCACATCCACAAATAAAGGGATACCTAGAGACGACAAGTTCAGGAAACCCACACAAGCACAGGTAGAACATGTAACCTTCCACATCAGAGTGGGAAACCAAATTAAAAATGCAACCCTATAAATGTTATCCCCCCCCAGACATAGATCTTAATATATAATTGGTCTGACATTCCTCTTTCTTTACTAAATTCTGTGTTTTTCCAGGTAAGATCACTATGGGAAGAATACAGACTGCCTTGGTAGCCTGTGATCAAGAGCACAAATAATCTAAATCAATGATGTGATTTCCATGTTTGAGTTTATGCTCAACTTTTTTTATGTCCATTATTGTGCTATGCTATTTACTAGGTATTTGTGTCAAAAGCAACAAGTGAGCAAATGTGGAGGTGGAGCCAACCAATGTCCCTGGAGGATTTGGAATTAATAGCCTCATTCAAATGCCCAGCAGTAATGTAATTAAACTACTGGCCTTAGGGTTCGAGCCCACTACAAACACATTACGTATTAATGTTTGTTACATGTTTTATCCTCAAATGGTGAATCTATAAAATTTGAACATGTCATGCTGTTATGATCCCTACTGCTTTCATATTACTGTTAAAAATTACCATCATACTTCTGCAGCTGTGTAGAATATGCAGGAAAAGAAAGAAAATAAATAAATGCATTTTCATTTCAGTATCTTGAACAGAAGTGAATGGTGCATGTAAACCAGTGACAACTATCATCCGATCTTGTAATGTAACCCCCCAAAACCCACTATTTACGGAATTCGTACCATTGCTAGGCAACGTAACTCGTCCAATTTCCTGCGACTTTGGCTGAGGAAAATGCGTTGGTGTATGTAATGGCCAGATTTAAAAAACATATTTTTTTGTTGATAGATTTATTAACTTAGCCTTCCAAACATCGGATATTAAACTGTCTATTAATTTATATGTATTTAGTTAGCTGATATAAAATCGTATGTAGGCTGTGGTTTGTCCGACTCTATGGCGCACAATAATGACGAAATCCTTAACGATGGTCTGTGTTCCTAACGACGGCGACGCAACGACTGAACCTTAGCCGAGAAACAGAATACAGGCAGTTTAATCTTGCTGATTAATTGCAAGATTATTGCTAACTTTTGACATCGTGTAAAATATTTATTATTTTCTCTCGTAATATAGTAGTTAACTATTTAACTGAAATGGATCCGACAGCAAACACTTTGAGGATTCCTCCCGAAATGCTACTATATGCCGAAAAGCACGAGATATTTGATTTAATGCAGGTAAGGGCCAAAATCATGTAGATGTCAAACAGATATACGTTCTCTGGAAAATTACTGAATTAAAATATTAGCCTGACAAATAGTTCCATTGTTGGGGTGGAGGGATGTTATTTGATTATTGAAAAATTAGAAAATTAAAAAAATATATTTTAAAAAATTGTCAAACACAAGCAAAATATGTTGGTTATTTTAAAATGCCTAACGTAACTTAACATCCCAAAACAACTTAGGAAAACCTGCATGCTTACTATCCCGTACAGAAACATGCAGTTAGGGAAGATGGCACTTCTGAATGGATCATGCTTATGCTGTGTGTGTGTGTGTGTGTGTGTGTGTGTGTGTGTGTGTGTGTGTGTGTGTGTGTTTGTGTGTGTGTGTGCGCGCGCGCGCGTGCGTGCGTGCGTGCGTGCAGATTAATATAATGATAAGTCTAATTATTGAATTACTGTTTAGTCTATGCTGAGAAATCTAATAGTGGACAAACCAGAAGATCCCATTCAGTACCTGATTACTTTGCTGAAGAGAGACAGTATTGGAGGTGAGTTAAAATCCACATCACTGTTTAACACTTAATAGTTGTGGTGTTAATGCAGTTTTGTCAACAACAGGGTACAGACACACTTGATGGCCACCAGGTGGCACTCTGTTCCTTATAAACCTTGCAATTGTTAAAGTCTCCGTCAGTGAAATCTGTTCCTTTGTAACATCTTTGTTAATGCAAATTTCACGTTAATATTCTAATAGGAGTCTTAGAAATAGAAATGTTTGTAATATAAATATATTTCACTTTCATTTTTAATTCTGTATACATTCTATATTGTGTATGTGAATGTGCATCATTTCGTAATGTCTATAATCCTACATGGCATGTATGAAAATGACCTTAAACCTTTATATTCAATTTATATTGATTACTTGATTTCTTTATAATTGGCTATTTGCCGCGTAATGCTTTTGGTCAGTTTTGGTTGCACTGTGGAGTTTTAAAGTGACTGGTATAATTTCCTGCAAGACTCACTTCTTGCCATCGATGTGCAGCACTCACATGCAAAGTACAGTGTCAGAAGCAGAGAGCATGTGCCCAGGTGCAGCTGTCACTCTCAGGTTAAACAAAACCATAACATACAGGAAGCTCTCATTTAAGCTGCCATTTTGGCTATTGCTGTATAAGTAACGACAAACGGAAGCTCAAGGAAAAAGAAGTTGCATGCCACACTTGCATGACACACATAAGCTTTTAAAATGACTTTTTTACCTCCTGGATTATGCCATCACAGCATTTCTCTGCCGTTAAACTAAATTAAACATTGAATTCCTATATGGTGGCTATTGTTAAACCAGGACCATTTTTGTAATTTTTAACTTTCTCACTTTAAAAATATGATCCTAATTATAAGTATTAAAACCAAAAAGTATTACTGAAAGCTCAAGAACAGAGCTTAAGATAATAAACCATATATATAGTATCAAACATATGTGTCCCAGTTTACCTTTTGTCCCACCTAACCAATACTCACCCTGTAGAGATTCCTGGAGAGGCATGTTTCATCCGTGCGTGTCACTGTGTTCTGCGCATGTCTGATGTATGTATGCCTCTTTACACAGTGTTTCACACAGTGCCCTTGTTACTGCTGTTTCCACCCTTTCCGGCTCTTCGGTTCTGTTGACAGAAACAGAGCATGTTTTGGGGCAGGGCATTGTGCATCAGGTCAATGGTGCTTGTCTGGCACTCAGTGGTCAACAACCAAATTTTACACAGGCATGTGTATATTATTGATGTATTATTCTTAATACAATACATAGATTTCTTGTCAAATGAATGAGGATTCAGTTTGAGAATGCCTTCTTGATTCCCTGAACAGTGATTGCTCATTTCCAGTTCCCAGGATTATGCTGCTGGGTCCCCCAGCTTCAGGCAAAAGAACCACTGTAAGTGAAATTTATGTTATTTTACCAAATTATTGAAGGAGTGTGACTGAGTCAGAAAGTATGATTAATTTACAAGTATACTAGTGGTTAGAGAATTGATGTAAGATAATTGGTCATCAAGGGAATTCAGGCTAATTTGTGAATTTGAGTATTCTTGAGAATTGAATCTTGGGACAAATGTGAAATTATTCTTCAGATTTTTTTCAAAGAAATGTATAAATTTTACATGTGTGCAATAAAAAGGAATTCATGTTCTTTTCCTCTTTTTTACTTCTTTAAAAATATTGTGAATAAATGGTAAGAGTTTATATAAAGTTATACACGCTTTGTATTGGAAGTGGATTTGGCTTTGAAGGGAATGTCTCTCATCAGTTTTGCCAAGGGAGATGTCTATTAAAGAAATTTCTTCAATATTTTGAATTATTTTACAGCTCTCTTTGGTAACATGCAGGCCTGCATGATGTTTTTGTGACTGAAGATTTTTAAAGGTTTGAAGGAGACATACATAGGAAGATTGTAGAAATGTATATTCTGGCAAAGTAGGTGTGAAATGTCTTAATAGAGAAGTGTTGTATTAAATATGACTCATTTAATATGCAAGAAATAAATATGGAGATTGCTGACAGTAACAGAATGCGAGAACATAACTTAAATGTGGCATTCAAACGCAAGTCTTAAATTCCCCATGGTCTCATTTCAGCATACGGGAGAAGTGTATCCCCACTCGCTGTCTGTAGGAATCATACCCACAGTCAATGCGAAGAGTCCCAGCTAGTGGCCGTGTGAAGCGGGTCGGTGCGCAGGCTGCCCTGGAGCCCGCAGCTGTGAAGTGACAGCTGTCTCTTTTGTGCTCCGTCAGGCCAGACAGCTGTGTGAGCGCACCAGAGCCGTGCACATCACAGAGCCCGGCGTGTTGGAGGGGGAGGGCGAGCTGGCGAGGGAGGCAAAGTGGCACGCGGACAGGCTACAGGTAAGGCATGGCCGGGGGCCCCGGGGAAAGCTGGCTGGGGGGGGGCTGACACGTGCACATATACTGACTCTCCGAGTGTCACATACAGCCCCTTTCAGGAAGACCTGTGTGTGAAGTGAGAATGCACCGAGGCCTCTGCCATCTTATTTAAAACACCTTCCGGGTTCATTAATTACTGTAACGTTGTGGGATCAATTCCGGCTCCCCATTCTGCGCTTGTGTGGCGTCTACATCTTCTTTACATGTTTAACCAGGTCTCCCCTAGGCACTCTTATTTCCTCATAGTGTGTGTGAGTGTGGGCCCTGAGGTAGACTGGTATCCTGTCCAGTGTGGGCCCTGAGGTAGACTGGTATACCGACCAGTATGGGCCTTCAGATAGACTGGTATTCTGTCCAGTGTGGGCCCTGAGATAGACTCTTATCCCATCCAGTGTGGGCCCTAAGATAGACTGGTATCCCGACCGGTATGGGCCATGAGATAGACTGGTATCCCGTTCAGTGTGGGCCCTGAGATAGACTGGAATCCCCATCCAGTGTGGGCCCTGAGATAGACTGGTATCCCGTTCAGTGTGGGCCCTGAGATAGACTGGTATCCCGGCCAGTGTGGGCCCTGAGGTAGACTGGTATCCCGGCCAGTGTGGGCCCTGAGGTAGACTGGATTCCCCGTCCAGTGCGGGCCCTGAGATAGACTGGTATCCCGACCAGTATGGGCTCTCAGATAGACTGGTATCCTATCCAGTGTGGGCCCTGAGATAGACTGGAATCCCCATCCAGTGTGGGCCCTGAGATAGACTGGTATCCCGACCGGTATGGGCCCTGAGATAGACT